GTCAAGGCCACGTCGGAGGTCAAGGACGAGCCCGAGGTCAAGGCCACGTCGGAGGTCAAGGCCACGTCGGAGGTCAAGGACAAGCCCGAGGTCAAAGACAAGCTCGCGGACCAGCCAACGGCAGCCCCGAAGTATGTGCGGTCGGGCAATCTGCAGACGATCCTCCAGCCCACCGATTGGGTCAAGGGCTCGGTGGCGCCGAATGGACAATGCCTCTTTGCCGCTCTGCACCGCTTGCTTTACGCCAACGGTGCGACGGCCGGGCCAGGCGCAAAGACAAAGGCTGCACCGGACGCCGAGAACAACCTGAAGACACGCATGTACGCGGCGTCCGCGCATCCCGACGTGCTCGAGCTTTACCGTGCGACGATGCTCCTGGGCGGTGCGCAGGGTCCTCTGGCAAAAGCCACGACTCCAAGCGAGTACCGGAAGACTTACTACCAGTACATGCGGGCACGGCCTCTGGCGCGCACAGTGTCCGTGGACTACTGGGGCGGGGCGGCCGAAATCGCCTCGGCGGCCCGGGCCTTCCAGGTGACCATTCACATACTCGACGCATGCTCCTCGGACAAGACGAAGTGGCAACTGCTGCGGTACTGCTGGCGCGACGACGCGCTACACAAGGAAATGGTACCGACACACCAATGGGACAGCGTCTTCGATCGCGCAGGGTCCGCCGGGTGGGTCCTACTGCTTGACCAGGACCACTACGAACCACTCTTCCCGCCCGAGCCTGCCTCCAACCCCGCCTGGGCGCGGCGGCGCCAGGCTCTCCACACGGCGCAGCCAACGCTCGATGAGGCACGATGGGATCCAGCAGCACCCTTGACACGGGCGCAGCTCGTCAACCGGCGCCTTCAAGACGAAGCCGCGACTCCACCGTCAATGGATCTCGTGACGAACGAAGATTTCAGCGCGTTCGTCTTTGCCCACCCGCGAGACGCTCGACTGGCGATGTTCCGGCTCGGCTGGCCCGAGCTTCTTCTGCATGCCTGCGCGCCGACGACCCTGACGACGTTTGGCCAGTACTGGCTCCACCAGATCTACTTGGAGGCCTTACGGGGCATTGCGGCACGGCGCCGGGAAGCGCTCAAGGTCGCCAACAAGGATGCGGACACGACGCACGATCTCGCAATCACGTGGTACGAGAAAGTGGCCGATGAGACGGGTGATTTGGGCCGCAAGGTCACACTTATCACGAACTGCGACCGCTGGATGGCGCTTGCCAAGGAGTACCCACAAGACGAAACGGTGCGCCTCGTTCAGACGCTGCACGGCTGCTGCTCGCGCAAGGATCAAGTGTGGCTTGCCATCTTCGTCGCGCTCGTGGACGATATTGGCATCGACCCCACCGACCCAATGCCGACTCCTTCGCTGGAGATGCTGGTACACGCCGCCTCAGACGATGCCTTGCGCACGGCAGTCGTCGACGTCCGCACGAGTGGCTCGGGAGCGTGGGCACGGGTCCGGGATCTCGTGGATCGGGTTGAAGGGGCGTGGCTACACTGGGGATATCCGCAGACGGGACCTCCCGAGCTGTGGTAAACCCAAGCCACGCCCTGCATATTGTATATCTATGTATCAAATGTATCAATCCATATCCACGAGAACCCACCCAACACGACCTACTACTACCCAAGACGACGGACAAGGCCGCTCAGACAAGCACCAAGCGACCCGAACCGTCTCACCAACGAACCTACGCATCGTCACGCAAAACGTCGCCGGGCTGCGCAAGGACCCCAAGAACATTTCCGCGTGGTTTTGTCAGTGGAAGGCCAAGCTCGACCGCGGGACTGTCGACGCGGTGTGTCTACAAGAAACGCATGTCACGACTGCGGCCGAGGTCGACTCGCTCACACGTCAGTGGCAGGCCGTGTGGGGCTTCGCCAACCCGCCGCGCCAGCTTTCTTTTTGGTCGCTTACGCCAGACAAGACCGCGGGCGTCGCCATCTTGCTCAGCCCATACTCGTCGCATGAGTTCGATTTCGGCGGCGACCACGGACAGCCAGGACGTGTGCTTTATGTGACATCGGCCACGTACAGCATCATGACGGTATACGCGCCAAGCGACGGGCCCCAAGCCCGGAACGCGTTCTTCGCGTACATGGCCAGTACGCCAGCGCCCACAACGCCCTTCTATGCAGTCGCCGGCGACTTCAACTGCGTCAGCTGCCCGTGGCGCGACAGACACGCTCAACCCCAGGGTCGCTCGGGTACTGCCGAGTGTCGCGAGATGGAGCACTGGCTTGACGCGTGGCGGTTACACGACGCGCTGCTGCAAGTAGTCGCGGCGCCGCGTCAAGACGACGCAGCTTGTGCCCAGTTCCGCAAGGACCATTTTACGTGTATTCGCGCACGGTCTGCCTCCCGCATTGATCGCGTCTACATCTGCACGGAGCTCCGGGGCGCCGTTCAGTCCGTCACGGTGCGGCTTCCTGGGGCTCAGAGCGACCACAACGAGGTGTGCCTCGATCTCGTGGCCACAGCTGCCGTACGCCGGCCCAACCGCAGTTTGTACCCGGTCAGGCAGCTGCCGCAGCACGTGGCGCGGTCTGCAATTGCGCAATTTCTCACTGAGCGTACCCTCGTTGACGAACCCAATGCATCTGTCGGAGCTGCGTGGGACCAGCTCAGTCATGACCTAGCCGACCTGCTCACGGCGCTGCGCATGGGTGCACCCAAGGCCAAGCAGTCTCAGGTTGTCGCCACCGAGCATGTGGGCCGCGCTGCGGCAATTGCACTTGCGACGGAACACGCCGCGGACACGAAGGACTACCGGCTCGGACGTCATCTCAACAATGGGGACCAGGGCACGCAGGCCTTCTTTCGACGGTATGGCGCCCCGTGGGACAACTCGACGCTACCGGATATTGCGCGAGCGCCGAACCACCCGCAAGCCAGCCCCGCAAATAACATGGCCAACTGGTGGCGGCCGCTTTTCGTGTCACGCTACGCTACTGTCGCTGACGGCCTGCAGTGCATTGCGACGCACCATGCGGACATGCTGACTGGTGTCGCGGCACGCGTTGATGCCGAGCGCACGCAGCATTTGTTGGCGCCATGCACCTCGAGCGAGTTGCGACATGCGCTGACAAAGCTGCATAGCAAGAAGGCGGCAGGGCCCGATGGCTGGTCGAATCGCTTCTTCCGAGATTTTGCCGATGCACTCGAGCCATCCTTACTGCACTTGTACTCGGCCATCATTGCCGGCCACCCGCCGCCACAAGCGTTTCGGCATGCCACAGTGATTCCTCTCAAGAAGAAGGGCAACAGCACATGCGGGCTCGATTACCGACCGATCGCTCTGCTCAACAGTGTCTACAAGCTTTTTGCCCACGTCATGGCGCAGCGGCTGCGTCCGCTACTCACGACGATCATTGGTGAGCAACAGCAAGGATTCATTCCTGGTCGAGCACTCGCGGACAGCGTCACGATCTTTCAAGCCGCGCTCAACCAGCAAACCGACGACCCGACAACAAGTTTTGACGAGTCGCCGGGCATCTTCAGCGCGGACATCAAGAAGGCCTACGACTCGGTCGAACGGGCGAGCATTTTGGCTCTTCTACGTGCGATGGGGTTTCCGCAAGCCTATGTCGACTTGGTGGGTACGCTCATGGCGGGCTCGATGCTCCGATTCGAAGTCAATGGCAAGCTCTCGGCGTGGGTCGACCAGGAGACCGGGATCCAGCAGGGCTGTCCGTTTGCACCGTTGCTCTTCATCATCAGCATAGAGCCGCTCCTGGCCAAGCTGCAGGCGCATGCGCCGAGACATGGCCTGGCCGTCGGAGCTGGCGCCGCTCGACAGGTCGCGTGCAATGCCCACGTCGACGACACAGCGGTTTTTGTCCAACGGATGGACTCGCTGCCTTGGGTGCTCGAGCAATTCGCTCAGTTTGCAGACATGACGGGTCTTACAGTTCAGCTTGACAAGTCGTTCGGCATCTGTCTGAACAAAGCTCACGCGCGCGACAACTACCATGGTCTCCCGCTGCTCCAGCCGACCGAGCGGCGTCGGTACCTTGGCTTGATGGTTGGTCTCGGCGACTTGGCAGCGGACAACTGGGAGCGCGCGTACGAGGCCACTACGGCACGCCTGCGCGTGGCAGCAATGAAGGCGAAATGTGAACCCTCCAAGGCGCGTCTATTGCAGGCCATTGTCCAACCGAAAGCCGCGTTCGTGGCGTCGTATTTCCCCGCACCGACAGCTTGGCGGACCAAGTGGGAGAAGCTTGTTTGGCATTTCTTCTGGCGCGGCAACTTAGCTGTCGGCACGGGCGGTCGCCTACCTCAGTACGTCCCCAAGGCGATTCTCCAGTCGCCGCGCGCACACCAAGGATGGGGCATTCCCAACATGGA